ATATAGTTCTGAATATGAAACAAAGTAGACTGAAATTTTATCTGCACACTTGGATCTATACCCTTTAAAATGTCTTTACTATTTTTCCAGAGTTTTTACAAACAGAATTTACATTGTTTACTGTAATATCTATCCCAGTGAATTATCAAAACCTTTGGAGAACAGCATGATGGCACCTTTAAACTTTTCCAAATTCACAAGCACACCCATGCTGCAGGTTGAGGAAACCTTCTCCTGTAGTTTTGTATACAACTAGAAAGAACAGCAACAATAATGGGCAAAAAGTTTATGTCACAAAGTTTTCATTGTAACACGTTAATTCTTGATGACCTCAGTATAGTTCAATCCAATGATATTGCCACATTCAAGGGTGCATCTCATATCTACAAATCCCATCAAATCAAGAATAATTTGATGACAACTACCAACAATGTATTTGAGAAGTTAATAAATTCCAAAAGAGACATTAATTGTCCATCTCATGTAAGCAAGTACAGATATAAAGTAGCTTTGCATTATTATGTCACTGAAAGAAGGTTCTCTTTTGTTGTCACAGAAAGAAATAAAAAAAAAAAAACCTAAAACTTCAAGTGTACACAGTTACTAAGATTTCTGGAAGGAATCATGTCTATAAAAGTGGCTTTAGTTTTCCTTTTCTCTTCCAAAAAAAGCTTATATTCCTTCAGGGACTTGAAGGAAATATTTGCTATTAACCATTTAAAGTGCTGGTCACTTATTAGGGAAGAGCAAATTGAAACAGGCAAGACCATTGCCTGAAAAGACACCACACAGCAGATGCTACTTTAAATGCACACCCATTAGCAACCCTCAATGTCATTTACTTTGCTAAATAAAAGAAAATTTTAGTTCAGTATAGTCTCGCAACTCAGTAAAAAGCAAAAAAAAAAAATTAAAAACCCTAGCAAAAAATAAAAAATTTAAATCCTAATGCTAAACAGAGAAAGTCAAACTTTAGCAGATCATTTTTATAAACTTGCCCATGTCACTTAAGACCTCCATACAGAGACAGCCAACATTCTAGCAGTGAAATACACTGAAGTATTTCAATGCTGGAATACTCTCCAGCACCAACCCTCACACAGTAAGGAAATTCTGCAGCTGAAGCTTCAAGAAGGCTCCATCTGCCAAAACCACTGTGTGCTTTTAATGAAGAACAGCCACAGAAATGCATTAAGAAGAACACAAAGTTTCAGGGAGCGGTAAGAACGGCAGCACCCTGGTCATGCTTCCCACCCACCTCTGCAGATCCCACAAAAACTCACTACTCACTGCAAGTACCTGTGCAGAGCATGGATCCCACACTGGCCAAATGACCAAAGTCAAGGAAATGCTTTTAGCATCCAAAATATACAAATACTTTCAGACTGATGTCATGAAATACATCACTCGAGTACTTCATCTCTACCTTAACTCTTTTTTACTGTTATTTAAATACTACATGTTATGTGCTCAGTTTATTTTCCTGAATAAATCTGCATATCTAACAATTAGTTGCAGCCAATCATCACTTGGCTTCATTCTGGCACACAGTGATGGAAAATAAAATTTATGCAAGATTTATCTTTCAAAAATGTGAAACCAAGTTTTGAAGTAAAAACTTGTTATTTGCTCTCCTGAAATTTTGCTTTAGTGGCTTTATAACCATTTAATATGCAACAAGTGACTTGTTCTAATTTTTTTTTTTTTTTTTTTTTTTGGTACTGAAACCTCATGGATTGAAACTCTTCATAGAAAAGTCCCCTTTCACCTAACTTCAGAATTTATCCTTGTATTATTCTTTCCTGCTATTTGGGAAGCCACTAGTTCTGCCACTGATTTGCAACACAGTGTCAGTTCTTTGCAAAACTGAAGTACCCCAAGAAGATGAGGATCAAAAGTTGTATATTTGATGAAGATCAAAAGTTGTAGTGGCTTGTAGGTGTAGGAGAGTAAAATCTTCTTTCCCAAAGAAAACCATGCACATATGTGTGAAAACTCTGCTAATGAATTATTTATGTTTAAAGATAGAATCCTGTGATTACTTCCAGGCTGCACTACTAAGTGCTCCAAATGGTGGCTTCTCTGATTATTTCAGTTGGAATAAGCTCAAAAGAAATAAGTAATAGGTTCCTTGTAACTCGTCATGTAAGGCTACCATTATGTACATAAATCAGCTTCCAACACTTGCTCTTTCTCCCTTTTTCAGTATAAAGATGAAAAGTAAGACTAAATGGGGTGATTTTTAAGCCAGGAAATACAAGCCTAACATTTCTTATGCTGTTTTCCCAATGAGCAAGAGTGATTCAGTCCCATTAATAGCATTGCACACTGCTAGGACTGGATCCTTGTTGGCAAGACAGGCTCCAACATCACAAGGTCAAAAAAGAGCTTCTGAATTACATTAGTGAAAACTTTCCTAAGGAGTTTCCATAGCCTCCACCTACTGAGAATCTATTTTCCTTTCATACCAATAGTAATGCAAAAATGGCACAAATTTGACTTCAAAATGATACTTCTAAGTATATATATATCAGTACATAAAATGTTGACTGTACATCTGATTTATTTTGCACAATTAAATCTGCAGCATAAAAATATCTATCCCAACATGTGCTAAAGGCAGAAACTTCTAAAACTCAAGAAGTTTTAGACCTGGCATTTGCCACCTTTAAATGATGTCCAGGAATGGCTCAGGAAAATGCCAGCTGGCCCAAGCAAGCCATGCCAATGCCCATGCTGACAATGATGTGGCCAAGCACATGCCAGACTTCAGCCCAACACCCAAGTTTGATTTGCTGCTATGGACACACTCTCCATTGAGGGAAACCTTAGCTCCAGCCTGATGCAGAAGACACCTTTGGTAGATGCCTGGAAGGCCACAGGGATCACACCAGCCTAGAGCACAAAGGGAAATAAAAAATACCCCAGAGCTGCAAATCACAATAGAAGGTAACAGTCCATGACACCTGGAAATCCCTGTACAGAGGTTTTCCCACTGTGATGTTCCACCTTCATCAGACTTTAATATAATAAACCCTCCACCCTCTCAAAGAGAGAAGACAGATCTTTACTGATGATCACACTAAATACATGTCAACAATTAGCTTGAGCAGATAAAATAACTGGGAATATGTGGGCTGCATTATCTAACTAGACAGCCCTTTATTTGACAGAAATAGAAAAATATGTTAAAAATATCTGAGACGTTTTATTTCCAATTATGTATCGCATTCAAAAAAAGAAAGAAAAAGGCATGTATCTTCAGCCATACAAAAACATTTGAGAAATCAAGGGGTTTTTTCCTTACTTCACGTAGTTTACCAGCCTGGAATCTGGTTTTTCCATTAGCTGAAAGTGAAGTGGCAGTGTTACAAGAAACATGAGACTACTCCCATCTGTTTCCCAGTTTTAATCTCAGACTATTTACAATGACCTTCTCTTTTCATTTTTGTTAGCAACTACCTAACAACACTCAACTAAGCTGGAGATGGGGAAGAAAGTGCTTCTCTTCTTCTGAGCTACTACAGCACTACATTGTGACCCACAGGGTAAAAAGCAGCCAGCGGCTTTAATCTGCCCATCTTTCAGCAGCCAAAGTCCACACCATTAATGAAGCAGGAAGCAGCTCCAGAAGGTTTATGTTTGCTTTTGGGGTGAGCAGAACTTGCACAGACTATGCCCTTCAACAGAACCCACAGCTCCTTAGAGCTTTTTACACCCAGCAGAACCACTTACGTGACACATTTTATGCTACAAGAGAACTGTGTTTTCCAGATCCCAGCACAGACAGACACTTCATGCGATCACAGATGCTGCTGTTGAGAGAAGGGTGCAGTTTGCTGAGCATCAGCACAGCACTGCATTGTTTTTCTCTCTAAAGACACAGCGTACAGAACCTCTCAGAACAGGCTGGTGACCGGTTTTGGTCCAGCCATAGGAACCTGCCTTCCTACATCCCTAGTAATACGAGGTCATGACAGACTTGGAAGCTAAAATAGTGAGGCACAGGATGGCAGACAGCAAGTACAAATCCGGAACTCAGAGGCTCTTTCAACTCTAAAAAGGCAAAAAAAAACGCGCTCCGGAGAAGCATGAGAGCCGAATCCAGACAAAGGTGCTGCCGAACACACCAAAACCCAGCTAGAAAGCTGCTGAACGCGGGCACTCCGCGTTTCTCCTCAGGGAGCTCCCCACGCACCCACCATCCCTCTCACAGCCAGCAGCCAGCAGCGCGCAGGGAATGACTGCACCGCGGGATGCAGCGCGGGCCAACCCGCGGCTCCCGGCAGCCGGACCGGGGGGCTCCGCTCCTGCCCCTGCCCCGCGGGGCCGCCCCGGCACGGCCGGCGGGGAGGCCGCGGCAGGCCGGGCGGAGGGCGCCGCGGGCGGCCCCTGAGGCGCGGGGGGACCCGCGGCGGGCGCGGGGCGGTGTCACGGCCGGGGGGTGACAGCGCGGCCCCGCGGGGGGAGGCGGTGAGGAGGGGCCGAGCCCGGGGCTTCCCGCGGCCGCAGGACACAGGCCCTGCCGGAGCCTGCGCGGCCGCGGGCGACCCCCCGGCGGGCGGGCGGGCGGGCGGGGGTCGGGGCCGGGCTGTGCCCGCCGGCGCTCGGCGCTTACCGGGGCAGCCGCCGCCTCCTTCCCGCTGCTTCGCAGCCCCGGCTCCGGGGGCGCCGCGCGGGCCGGGCCGGCGGGAGGGGGGGCGCGGAGGGGCGCGCGCACGGCGGGGACCCCCTCCGCCCGCCTCCGCCCCGCCCCCTGGCGGCTCCGCGCATGCGCCCGGGGGCCGTGTGGGGGGGCGGGAAGGGCGGGGCGCGGGCGGCGCGTGCGCGGGGCGGTCCCGCCCTCAGAGCGGCCCCTCCCTCAGAGCGGTGCCTCCCTCACGGCGGGGCTGCTCCGCGCCTCAGTGCCCGAATCGCGGGTACCTGGGCGCCGTTCCCCACCTGAGTGCCCGAATCGCGGGGTACCTGGGCGCTGCTCCGAATCTGAGTGCACACACCTGAGTGCCCGAATCGCGGCGTACCTGGGCGCCGCTCCCCACCTCAGTGCCCGAATCGCGGCGTACCGGCTCCAGCTTGGGAGGAGGCGGCTCTGAGGTGGTGGAGCCCAAGCCGTGACCCGTCACCGTGTCATCTAGAACGTGGCCGTGAGTTGAGCGCCACGTTCAGTTTTTCCTCAAACACCTCCCGGCACGGTGACTCCATCACCTCCCAGGGCAGCCCGTTCCGATGTCTGAGTAACCTTTCTGTGGAGAAATTGCTCTTCGTGTCCGACCTGAACCTCCCCTGGCGCAGCTTGAGGCCTTTCCCTCTCATCCTACCCCTCGTTGCCGTCCCCTCAGGGCCGCATCCTCCTGGCAGGAGTCGTGGCGGGACAGACGGTCCCCCCGAACCTCCTTTTCTCCAGGCCGAACCCCCCCGCTCCTTCAGCCGCTCCTCATCACACTTGTGCTCCAGACCCTTCCCCAGCTCCGTTGCTGAGGGTGGGAGGGCGGCAAGAGCCCCGGCCCAGGCCCCACATCTGGGACTGCTGAAAATATCAATTATTTTGTGGAGGTTTTTGGGGCCGGGGAATAAGCATGCATATTTGAAGCTCTGGCAGCAAGCACACAAAAGGCAAGAAATGTAAGTGTGAGTGGGTGGGCTGGGGGTCTTCTAAACCTGTGTCTTACTGTCCAGATCTATAATTGTATATTTTCATTTGAGTGAGAAGTAGATGTTTAAATGTGTGTTGTGGCTTAAATGAGCTAGAGTTTTCTTCACTGTTCAGCAAAACCCCAAAATATAGCCCATACTAGCCACCTTGAAGGAAATTAACTCTACCCCAGCCAAAACCAGCACATTGTGGTAGGAAATAGCTTTGCCTTCTTAGGTGACAAGAACTCACATGCACACAAGCTTTCAGAGTCTGAGCTCCCTTCAAACGCATTAAACTAAGCTCAGCCTTGTTTGTAGCCCATCACTGCACAGGATGTTTGACTTGTCACAAATAACCAGCAAATGAAGTTAATAACCCCAAATTGCAGCGTGGGTGCTTTGGTGGGAGGTATTGCAGAGTTTGTATTTACAGGCACTGCCTGGGAAATGCTATGAACACATAGTTAAGAAAATGTGCTGATTTGACACATTCCTGTAAAAGTTTCCCTCTATTTAGGCGAAAGCTTCTCTCCCAGCTCAGCTGTTTTAGCAAAAGAAACATTTCAGTGTAAGATTGAGTTGCATGTTCTCCCTTGAGGTACATTCCTTCCTAGAATTCGTAGGAATAGGATTCACAAGAATACGGAATTTGTAGGTTGCAGACCAGTAGGGCAAGTATAATTTACAGTCCTCTCGTTATCTTTGATGATGTTAAATTTTCAGTATTATAAATCAAAGTAAATGATATCTCCATTACATCAGAATTCCCTTTAAAACTGACAGGATGTATGCTGCTAGATATTGCAATGTTTGATTTACGTGGTGGGAAAATTTTTCTGTTTGTGTGTCTTACAAAGTCAGTTTCATTGAGATGCCCTTCCATGTCCATTTCTGTGTCACTCTGTGTGCTCCTACCTGGTGGGGATTCCCCTGGCAGGTAGCTGCACAGACAGTGAAATGCTCCTTTATGATTAAGTAATAATCCTGATGTTTATTTTCCTGCACTACGACCAATACCATTCTGTTACATTTTCTGCTCCATGATACCTTCAGCAAAATGTTGCCCTGTTTCTACCTTTGGATTGATTTTTAAGTTATCAGTGGCATTTCAATGGCACTACTTCTGTATTAAGGATGTGAAAAGTGGCTGCATTTGTTTTGAACAATGTATTTCTCACGGTAGCCCACAAAGGGCTCAGCTTTCTGTTTTGCAGCAGGAAGCAGCCGCTCAGCTCAGTGCATTAATGAACAAGCTGCTAGCTGACAGTGCATATGCCTTGGATCTTGGTTCTGGAACTTAGAAGTCACTTTAAAAAAACCATTAAATGGCAGTATTGTGTGTGTGCAAGAGTGGTTCAGCTGTCTGCTAGGAAAGCTTTCTCATTGTGGTTAGTTCTGGGTTAGCCTGCCCCAGAGGATTACAGAATCTCCGTAACTGGAGGCTTCTAACAAAGAGCAGACAAATGTGTCTCCGGAGTCAGGCAGGGACGGCTGATCCTGCCTCACACTGACAGGCCTATCCCGCAGGCCTCGGGGGAGCTGCTGCCCCAGGGCAGCCTGTCCAGGCCTCAGGGCTGTCTGGAAAATGGAAATTCACCTGCTCAGGTGGAGCAATTTGCACAGAACACCCGTGGTTATTATATTCATGCTCCTTCTCATCCTGCTCCAGCCTTAGGTCCCGTTTGTTCCCTCTCGTTCCAGGTGCCGCAGGTGTGTGCTGGCTGCTTTGCTCAGGCCTGCACCAGGCTCAGCTGGGGCCTTCAGCCGGGGAAAAGCATCCAGGAGGAGCGGCTGGGATGCTCCAGGCTGGCAGTCAGCGGAGAGCTGGACACGGTAGGAGCTGGTTGTGGGAGCAGAGTGCCTGGTGCAGGACATGATCCCTTCCAGCCTCATCCAGAGGCTGCTGCTCCACGTGGCTGCACTTCAGGGGTTCGCTTTCTGGGAGAGGGAGAACCATTTGGCAGAATTCCGCATTGAAGCTATTGGAAAACTATTTTATATTATACAGCCACACCACTGATCAGAAGTATTAGTAATAGTCATTGAATTTCCCCATCTTTGTCCAGTTCAGGGGTAGGCATGATACTCAGGGTAGTTTTAAACACTGCAGTCAGTTAGTTACATTTATCTACTTCCAATGTTGCAATGGAACCCTGTAATCTTTGTGATCCACAACTTAATGAAATGGGCTAGAGAGCTTTCAAGCAGGTATCTTTTTATTGTAGAAAGGTTTATATATTATATTAAATTTGGACTATATTCAAACATAAATGTACTTTAATACATTAATAATTTAAACAATGTTTAAATAAAGCACCAAGTTAACTTGATTTAAATAACTGATTCAGTTTCCACACTGATTCCTACAAAATCCCACTAATTTCATGCAGTGTTTGAAGAACTGGAGGCCAGAGCTGATTTCTTAGTAAACACTAACTACAGTTCAAGTGCTCTGCACACAAGGGGAAAGTTGACAAGTCTGAGACAGGCTGGGTTTTGAAGCAGAACTCCTACAAAAGGATTCACAGATCTGAACATGGACTGGGTTGCTGAGCTATTTCTCTATCTTCCATGTAAACTATTTCCACACATTCAAGTTGTTTCAGTTTAGTTCTCTGTACTAACCTCTAGATTATAGGTGATACAGCTTTTACCTTGTAAATCAAGAAACAGCTTTTATTTTGAAACAGCAGTGTTAAATTCCATGCCCCCAGCAAACTCAGCTAAATGCAATTCACACATTCAGTGTAATATAGGCCCACTTTTATCTAAATAAGACCAAAAGAACCTGACAACATAGATACAGGAGATTTTATTTAACATTGTGTACAAAGAAAGGCTACAAATGCCTTAAGACATTTTTCCCCCAAATACAGTTCTTGGATCCCTTTTTCATGTCACTTTTCTCAGAAAGTAAAAAAAAAAAAAAAAAAAAATCCAGAATGACAATTTTTCCCTTCCCCCTTCTCTTTGGGCCTAAACTGAGAGATGTTTAGCAGTATGGTTTCAACACCTTTCCATATTCAAACTATTAGGATTAGGTTTTCTTTCCTCAAAACTGAGCACTATGAGATACTGAAGCACTAGCAACAGCAGGATAAAATGTCAAAAACTGACTCCCTAACATGGTAGTGTTTAAAATAATGCCAACAGTATTAGCTCTGATGAAACCCAAAATTATCCAAACAATAAGAAGCTGTTTGTCTTCTACATCTGATAATTTAAGACTAATTATATAATTTAATTGTATTTATATTTAAATAAATAGTCTTAATTCCTTTCCTTGGAATTCTTCATGGATTATAAACACTTACAATACTAGAGATAAGGACAAGCTACACAACTTACATAGGCAAGAGAAGGCTGAGTTGTTTTGGTTTTTTTTGCTGGACAGACACAGAAAGGACAACATTTCAGTGTCCTCCTGAGAGATCATTTTTAAATCCACCATTTCATTGTGATGCTTTTCAGTTATCCCAACACAACGATTCCTTACCATCTTTTTTCTACCTTGTTAATCACTTTAAGTACTCCTGAAACATTGGTCCCTGCACAGCTAAGTTTTATCCAGGATTCTGCAAGTTTTGTATGTGACTGTGAAACCCAAGACTTCTTTTAAGCTGTAAGAAACAGTAAAGAAGGCAGCGAGTAGAGAAGGCTCTTGTAGAAAAATGACCTTTTGCTATAGCAGCTTTTACATTACCATCTACTATATATGAAATAGGTTTTAGATATAGATTGGTTTTCAGCTATTTATGTAATCCCAAATTAGGACTGTCCCTGTTTCTCCCAAAATGTGACAAAAATAGAGAAATTTTGAGCTACTCTCGATCAGCATTTGATCACAGTAAGAAGGAACTCACAGCTGCCTTCTGAGCCTCAGCAAACTGCCCCAGGGGAGATGGGAGAGCCCCAGCAGCAGCAAGGCCTCTGGCTCACTGTTGGGCTGGACCTGCTGTGACCCTCGCTTGGGGTCATCTCCAGGAAGCTGCTGGAGTCCCCTTGCAAGCAGGAAGATATTTTGTACACAAGCCTGCCCTTTTGTACATCCACGGGGATATAAAATGCCGTGTGGTATAAATCATTCTGCAGGTTAGAGAAACAGCTCATCTGTAGAATGTCTCAGATTCTCGGAACATCCTTCCTCAGGGGAAAAGAACACAGCAGTTACCAGCAAAAGCTCTAGTGCAAAATAACTTTCTCTCTTCTGGTGAACCATTTTTGACAAGAGGATTTGAACATGACTGTGATTAAAACAAAGCAGTAGAGCAAACACTTCTGCTAGGCTTGGGCATTCTGTAATTATATTGATTCCCAAATGTGCTTGAACAGCTGTAAATAATAGAATTTTACTTAGCTCACAACACAGCCCTGCATTAGCCCAGAACTTCAGAACTACTACCTGGTCCACTCTGCACAAGAAGACTGGAAATATTGAAATTATCTCCAGGGCTCTGCTCTGTAGCTCTGCTATAAACTGAACCTCTCAGTGTGGTAGTTGCCACAGTGCAGAAAGATGTGAAGTGGTTCTCTTGGGAAAGGAATGGTCTGTCTTACTGTGAGGTGAAACATGGCAGCTGGAAAAAAAATTATGTAAAAACTGCTGCATGTTTTGCAGTGGTCTCCAGCAATGTCACTGTAAGATGGTAACACAAGAGAATCAACAGTGGAGGCAAACTAGGTAATTTAATAATTTTCTAATTCTCAACAAGAGCATTTATGAATTTGCTTGACCTAAGAGGCATAAATCTAATTATATGGTCATGGAAGGGAGACTTAAAACAACATATACACTCAGGTTTGCTTTGGTCCTACTGCCCCAACGCTTCTGTCATTACAGCTGTTGTGCCTTTTTATCCCTGCAGCCCAAAACCAGACTTCTAGCTTAAACAATAGTCCAGCTTTGTGGTTCTAGGAGCCTTTTTCTTCCTTGTGGTGGTTCACCTATGTTAACATACAGGTGCTACAGCTGCTGCCTCAGGGGGAAAAATGGAAGAGAGCAAGTGATAAGCTTTGCTTTCTTAGTACTGAACTGTGAATGTTCACGAGCAAGAAAGAGGGGTTGCAGCACATCAGAACTGTGAGGCTCCTGAAGCTAAATTCCTGGCATTCCCGTGTTCATGTTTATTTACTGGCAAGAGAGCCTTTGCTCAGTTATCGAGGGCATGAGCCACCTTCTGTAACTCCAAATGAGAGCCTCATTCTAGTCCCAAGCAACGTGGCCTTGAGCAATTCTTAATTTTGTTTCCCTTTTCCATGTGTGATGGTTTAATTCCCTAATGATTGTTAAGGAACAGTCTATTAACTATAAGTGCTTCCTTTATAGCTTCTGTTGATTTTAAGGGCAATCCATAGATTTAATTCTATTCAATTAGAAAGTTCACAGAACACACATGAACATTTATTCCATCCTAGTTCAGAATGGAGAATTGCTAATACTAGTCCAAGGCTCCAGTATCTCAGTTGTACAGGCCTTGTGTTAAAGGAACGGAATGGAACCATGTTTACTTTTCACTAATAGTAGTAGGACAGTGTTAGCAAAGTCTACAAAGAAAAACATCCCTGGAGTAGAAATTTAAGAGGGTGTAAACAAGTGACTAGCTACAAGAATTTGATAAATTTGATTGTTTCTAGGAATTGCCCTTTCAGATTTTTCTTCTTCAAGGAACAGAAGTAAATCCCCCCAAGTTCCTGCACAAATGTATTGGTCTTCTATTATTACAAGTCATTATCATCTTGAATTAAAGTAAAAAGAGAAAGGGGAAGTTTTTTTTCTAAAACATTTCCCATTTTATACTAAAATGTCCATAAGAAGAATGCCACATCTGGTAAAGTTATCACAGTAGGTAACCAAGCACTGAAACAAAAAGATTACCTAGTGAGGAATCAGAGAAAGTCGAGGTTTTGCCATCAGACTTTAAACATTTTTAAAACCACATTAGTCAGTTTACATTTCATACACCCTTGAAAGAATGGCACATTAAGGTAAATGAAGACATTGTGATGCCTTTCAGTGTTACACAGGTGACAAACTAAACTGGAGATCCAGGTCTGCCTTAAGGAACAGTCCATTTGTTTAAATAAACTCATAGAAAACTAACAGGAACAACCATAAAATAGTTTTAAACAGGTAAAACCAATAAACTGTAAAAATCCTGCACCTCCCATAAATATCCTCTGTGGTTCCACCACCTCATGGCCAACACCACAAGGGCTGGACAATTCTGCATGTGCACAACAATGGCCAGAGCAGAGGTGGGCAGTGGGCACTGGCAAGGACAGGCACCCCACTGCTGGATTTTGCCCTTAGCTATACACTGAAAAATAGCAGCATTAAAATACAGCCTGAAATAGCTTAGCTACTACCTCAACTTGTTAAAAATGTGCAAGAATAAAGAACACCAGCAGCATTTGAATGGATGTATTTCAATTTGGTTTCTGACACTTCCCTTCCATACAAAGCATACACAAACACAAAGCTGACTCTTGAGCTCGTAACTGTTATTTCTTGTCCATCTTTGAAAACTTTTCCCTTCATTTGCTTAACTTTAAAAAATTTTACTTAAAAACCCATTCAGTGTTAAAAAAACCCACAAGAATTTTAAGGTAGTTTCTAAACGCCAAGAAACTGATGCTTATTCCTCTCCTTAAGGTGGAGAGACACAGACTACCCTAATCACCTGAATTTCCTTAGCTGAAAATTTAAACATTTCAGATTCCTGTTCCTGAAAGTGACACTTGTAGAAAAGTCTCTCCAATACATTATAAACTGAAGGAGCAAAATTTCCCACTGCATACATAAAGGGCAACTTTTTGCTAATTTGCTCTTGTGT